CTATGGTATCCATACATAATTATTATAAGTGATTAACATGTAACTTCTCTCTATGGTATCCATACATAATTATTAGAAGTGATTAACATGTAACTTCTCTCTATGGTATCCATACATAATTATTATAAGTGATTAACATGTAACTTCTCCCTATGGTATCCATACATAATTATTAGAAGTGATTAACATGTAACTTCTCTCTATGGCATCCATATATAATTATTAGAAGTGATTAACATGTAACTTCTCCACTTGGTATCCATACATAATTATTAGAAGTGATTAACATGTAACTTCTCTCTATGGTATCCATATATAATTATTAGAAGTGATTAACATGTAACTTCTCTCTATGGTATCCATACATAATTATTAGAAGTGATTAACATGTAACTTCTCCCTATGGTATCCATACATAATTATTAGAAGTGATTAACATATAACTTCTCCCTATGGTATCCATACATAATTATTAGAAGTGATTAACATGTAACTTCTCCCTATGGTATTCATACATAATTATTAGAAGTGATTAACATGTAACTTCTCTCTATGGTATCCATACATAATTAATAGAAGTGATTAACATATAACTTCTCCCTATGGTATCCATACATAATTATTAGTAGTGATTAACATGTAACTTCTCTTTATGGTATTCATACATAATTATTAGAAGTGATTAACATATAACTTAGAAGTGATTAACATATAACTTCTCGCTATGGTATCCATACATAATTAATTGTAATTTGTTTACAATTTGTGAGACCTGGTTGTCCGTCAACGACTGTGCTGTTCTTAATAAACTTACCCCGACGGGGTACAACACTCTTTATCACTGTCCACGATCTGGCAGAAGGGGTGGCGGAACTGCACTGCTTGTGAGGAAAGGTTTTGTCACTAGCAAAATATCTTGTATCGAGAAGTCATCTTTTGAGTTGTCAGAGTGGCTTGTTGATGTTAGATCTACTCGGCTACGCATTGTAATCATTTATAGGCCGCCTTCTTCACCTGCTCATCCAGTTTCAATCAGTACGTTCTTTGCAGATTTTCTCACTACCTTGAATCTGTTGTTATGACCAATGAGCCGCTGGTCCTCTTGGGCGACTTTAACATACATGTTGACGTGCCTACGGATATGGATGCCATACAATTTAGAGATCTCTTGGATTCAATGGGCCTGCAACAACATGTAAAACAACCCACTCACACTCATGGTCACACCCTTGATTTACTTATCACCCGGCAGTCTGATGTCATAGTAGCGAAAGAACCAGAGATAGAGAGATATTTCTCAGATCATGCCGTTGTCCTATGTGATCTTAGGACAGCTGTGTCTGCCTCTAAAGTCACGCACGCTGAGTTCCGGAAACTCAAAGCAATTAACAAGCAACAGTTTTTGGAAGATATTCGTAATTCTAGTTTATATCGTGACCCTCCTAATACTCTTGATGAACTTGTGGAATGTTACAATAATATATATATATATGAAGGTTTATTAAAAAGTATTCAAAAATAGCACCCAAGTGGTGAAATACATGTGAATTTACAAGTATACTTTAAATATTTAAAAAATACGAAAATCTTACATTTGACTTTAAAATTAAGAGTCTAAGGGGACTGGGAATTACAAGAGTCAGTAGTTATATACCAATGAAAAACGCTTAGGTTTGCTTGACTACAAGGACTGGGCGTTAGACGCCATTGTTGGAAAGAAAGATTTTTTAAATCTTTCGGTCCGGCATTTAAAGAGTGATACATGGTTTTTGTTGCGCAACTCATAAACGTGGCAATCGGCGCGCTTTGGTGGAATAAGGTGGTACAGCCGTGACCCAGGCACACAGATACCGTCCCAAACTTTCTTGCAGAGTTCGTCTCTTCTCACATTTAAGCGAGTGGAGTTTGCAGCCACAATGGCGTCTTTGTAGCTCAGCGCCGGAAATAATATACGCAGAGCTCTTTTCTGAACTCTTTCGATCATGTCCTTGAGGTAAATTGGTAGGCTAGTAGACCAAGTAACGCAGGCGTATTCGAGGACCGATCGTACCAAGGCATAAAATATGTTAATAAGGTCTTCGGGTGGAATTCCGGACCGCTTGAGCACTCTTAAGATGTAAAGACGTTTTGTGGCTTTGGAGACAATCTCACGCACGTGCTCATTCCACCCAAGAGTGTCGCTGATAGTGACTCCAAGGACCTTGTGTGAGGAGACCCGTTCTAAGGGACGTCCATTGACGCACAAAGGGCCAAGATCTGGCCGTGTTCTAAGCGAACAAATCGCAAGTTCCTTGCACTTCTTTGGGTTGAGGTTCATATTATTGCGCGACGACCACTGTGCAATGGCGTCAAGATCTTTCTGAAGGGACGATGTACCGCCTGATGGGATGACCTCGATAAAATCACGGCTATTCGGTCTGCGCTGGATGCGGATGCCAGTGGCGCAACTTCGCTTGCTACATCAGCCTCAACGTGTAGTGAGTTTTCTGAATTTTCTCCACTGTCTGAGGAGAGTGTACGGAGAATTGCTGCCTCATGTGCAAAGTCGTGCGCCTTTGATCCCCTACCATCGTCTATTCTGTCCTTCTGTTTGGATGAACTGCTCCCTGTTATTAGGAAAATTGTCAACTTGTCTCTTGAGTCTGGCGTCTTTGCAGAGAACTGGAAGAATGCTTTAGTTCACTCCTTGCTTAAGAAAGCAGGACTCAAACCTATTAACAAAAATTTTCGACCGCTGAGCAACTTGCAGGTTACATCAAAGATCACGGAAAAGTCCGTGGCTATCCAATTACAAGATCATATGACAGCCAACAACTTATTTCCTGTCCTCCAAAGCGCATATCGGCAGAATCACAGCACTGAGACGGCGTTATTAAAAGTTAAAAACGATCTTCTGCTAAATATGGACAAAGGTCACGTCACATTGCTTGTTATGTTAGATCTCAGCGCTACGTTTGACACCGTAGATCACGGTATTCTTCTGCACAGGCTGCAGTCCAAGCTTGGCCTTCGGGATAAGGCTTTATCATGGTTTAAATCTTATTTGGCGGGAAGAACGCAGCAGGTCTCAGTTAACGGATCGCTCTCTGATAAATTTAATCTGTCTTGCGGGGTCCCACAAGGTTCTTGTTTGGGCCCCCTCTTATTTACCATCTACGCGAGTTCGCTGTTTAACATCATGAAATCTCATCTGCCATCCGTTCACACCTACGCGGACGATACACAGCTATATATATCGTTTAATCCCGTTGATAAGACCAGCGAGGCTGATGCTGTGATTGCGACTGAGAACTGTATTCGTGACGTTCGCGCTTGGATGAGAGATGATAAGTTAATGCTAAATGACGATAAAACTGAGTTCCTGATCATTGGCATGGAACAACAGTTATCAAAGGTGTCCGTTGACAAGATCAAGATCGGCCAAGCTGAGGTATCGCCTGTTTCTTCAGTGCGCAATTTGGGCACCTGGTTCGATTCTCATCTGGACATGTCGACTCATGTGACTAAGACTTGTGCTAGCGCGTTTTATTATTTGTACAATATGCGGCACATTAGGAAGTATTTGTCTCGTGAGTCCACCGTGAGGCTTGTTCACGCGTTCATCACAAGCAGGCTTGACTACTGTAATGGTTTATTGTACGGTGCTCCTGAGTATCTAATTAAGAAACTTCAAAGAGTCATGAATGCCAGTGCTCGATTGGTTTACTGTGCACCTAAGTATTGTCACGTTACTCCTTTACTAAGAGAACTCCACTGGCTACCAGTGCGCTTGCGCGTAGATTTTAAGATTCTCCTTGTTTCATTTAAGATTCTTTACGGTGTTGCGCCTAGCTATCTTAAGGATCTTGTCTCTGTCTTACCGGTCTCACGTTACCAACTACGCCGTAACAATAATGGTATATTGTTAGAAAGACCTCAGCTAAGAACGAAGAAGACCTTGGGAGATCGCGCGTTATCGATGGCTGCCCCCTTTTTATGGAACAGTCTTCCTCTGCCAATTAGACAGGAAACATCAATCGACTCTTTTAAACGCTCGGTTAAAACATATTTATTTAAAAAGGCTTTTAGTTAGATTATTTATTTATTTATTTATTTTTTATTTTTATTATTTTTATTTTTTTAATATTGTAATGTTAATATTGTAATTTTACCGAGTAATTTTACTGGTTTTAATTTAGTTTTTAATAATATTGTAATGCGCTTTTGAGTATTTTTATAGAAAAAGCGCAATATAAGTATTAAATATTAAATATTAAATATTAAATTGCTTGATTAAACGCGACATATTTGCTGACATAGTGCACCAGGAAGGCACGATTAGTGTCAACAATATTCAAACACAATATCCCGAGACGCCAAAATGCCTGAAACTGTGGAGATAAAAAGTGAAAAATAATGCTTCTTTGGCACTTGGAATATCTGCCTTAGGCCAACTTCTGCACTAAGAATCATCACAATGAGGTCATTTATGTTTCAAACTTCTAAAACACTTTTCTCAGACAATGATTAGAAGCAGTGATGTGAAATAACAACATTCAAGACTAATCAGCTTAATATCGCCTATCTAATCAACAAATTTGAATAGAGAACTCGATTGAAAAGGCCGGTGAGTCAGTAGCTGTCTACAAAAAGGATAAAATGTATTGGGTTAATAATGTTTTGAAAATATGCTACTCCTGGTTGCTAAGCGAGCGTAAGCTGGGAATAGAAAAATATATACACTTATCAGAACTAACGCAGCGCTACTGGATTTTCGTCAATCTTACTCTTTGAAGGAGGCCAAATGTCATTTTAGTTTATGGTATCCTTCAAATCTACAGTTAGATCCAGACCAGCAATTTTGCTGCAATGAATGGAGTAAACGAAACGACTTTAGCTTATATCAGTTTATTGAAGCATTTAGGGAGTGCTTTACAACAAGTAAATTATTCGTAATTAGATTAGGAAATATTGCTTATAGGAACAACACTCACAAACTTACGCAGCATTTCTGGCTTGATCAGTTATAAAAATTATCTTAACAGCAATTTCTTTTTTTTTTCTTTTTTTTTGTCTCTATCAGCCTACAGTCAATAACATCAACAAAGCACTGACAAGTGCACCAAGTGAATAAACGGTAAACTAAGAAATGCAAAAGTGAAGTAAATAAACAAGTTTTTCTTTGAAGGAAATTCCACTTAACCTCCACTTATAAACTATGAAAATGGTTATCATCACTACCGAAGCATTACTAAAGTAAAAGTACGAAAAAACCTACGTCTTAAAATAAAAAAAAAACTATGAAATATTGAGGCTGAAATTCTCGAAATATAAACTACAAATAACAGAGTGTTATAAGACTACAACCTTAGAGGTTAAGCAATTCTGCTATTAAGCCTCAGTCCTGCACAAGAGGAGTTGCTTCAGATGACTCCTCGTCTTCGTCACTTCCAGTTTCGTCTATATTCGCAGCAGTAAGTTGATTACCATCATACTCTTGTACGCTAGCGTCTCCGTCAAAAAGGTCTACAGCATCACTTTGGTCGTCCATATAGTTTCCAAGATCGTCTTGTTCATCCTTCGTGTACTCTAGTTGGCAAGTCTTAGGTTCTTCTTCTACTGCCTCCTTTTCAGATTGAGCTGCTACAGCACCTTCATAACCAACGGTATTTTCAGGTTCAGTTGTTACACCATCTTCGTCATCAGTTTGAATTTCTGGAGGGAAGACGGAATCACTGAGGCCTTCTTTTTCGATCAGAGGATTGTATTCTAAAGAATCAAGATCTTCTTCGATCACACAAGGGAATGGTGAGGCATCGGGTTTGTTCACCTCATTTGCAGAGCGTGCGAAAGAGGTAGGATCTTCTTTTTCAGTAACAGAAAGGCATTCTGTGGCTTCCAAATCTTCCTCCCCAGGTACAGGGGAGCATGCTGAGTTATTGGAATCTTCTTCCTCAACCACAAGGGGGCATGCTAAAGAATCAGAATTTTCTTCGTCAGTCACAAGGGGACGTGCTGAAGCAGCTAGACCGTCTTCGTCCATCACCAGGGAGGATGGTAAAGGATCAATTTCTTTTTCCTCAATCGCAAGAGGGCACTCGGAGTCATCAATTTCTTCTTCCTCAATCGCAAGAGGGCACTCGGAGTTATCAACATCTTCTTCCTCGTTCTCGCTAAGGTATGGTAAAGTATCACTCTCCAAAGGGTACGCTTGGGCATCCATATCTTTCTTATCACTCTCAAAAGGGTATGCTGCGCAACTTTCTTCTTCTACTTTGATTCCGAGAGGGAAAGCTGTAGCACCATCGTCAATTCCAACCATAGAGGGATGTGCCGTAGCACCGTGCTTACCCACTTCACTGGCGAGATTTCCTGCAGCTGCCCCTTTGTCTTGTAAGTTAATAGCGAAAGGGAAAGCTGCTTCTTCCTCAATCGCAAGAGGGCACTCGGAGTTATCAACATCTTCTTTCTCGTTCTCGCTAAGGTATGGTAAAGTATCACTCTCCAAAGGGTACGCTTGGGCATCCATATCTTTCTTATCACTCTCAAAAGGGTATGCTGCGCAACTTTCTTCTTCTACTTTGATTCCGAGAGGGAAAGCTGTAGCACCATCGTCAATTCCAACCATAGAGGGATGTGCCGTAGCACCGTGCTTACCCACTTCACTGGCGAGATTTCCTGCAGCTGCCCCTTTGTCTTGTAAGTTAATAGCGAAAGGGAAAGCTGTAGCACCATCGTCAATTCCAACCATAGATGGATGTGCCGTAGCACCGTGCTTACCCACTTCACTGGCGAGATTTCCTGCAGCTGCCCCTTTGTCTTGTAAGTTAATAGCGAAAGGGAAAGCTGTAGCACCATCGTCAATTGCAACCACAACGGGATATGCAGCAGCACCGTGCTTACCCACTTCATAGGCGAGATTTGCTGCAGCTGCCCCTTTCTCTGGTACGTTAATAGCGAAAGGGAAAGCTTGAGCACCATCGTTTATTGCAATCACAAAGGGATGTACCGTAGCACCGTGTTCACCCACTTCACGGTCGGGATCTGTTGCAGGTGCTCCTTCGTCTCCTACGTTAATTCCAAGAGGGAAAGCTGTAGCATCATCGTCCAATGCAACCAGAAAGGGATGTGCCGTAGCACCGTGTTCACCCACTTCACCGATGGGATTTGCTGCAGCTGCTCCTAGCTCGTCCGGTCCTGCATCTTCTGGGTTTGCAACAGCTCCACGGTCATCGACAAAGTTGTACTTATCCTGATCATACTTGTCATCGTCAAAGATATCTACATATGTCTATGAAAAAGATTAGAAGGTAATCAAGAACTGTATGAGTTAAAAAATCTTGAACGAATGAGTTTCAAAAATTCAGCAAAGAAATTCCAAAAATGAGTCACTA